AAAATATACGTGTCTAAAAAGTGAGATTTATCTGAGATCATCCTCTGAGATGAAACTCAAACACTTCGGAAAACGAAACAAATTTATTAACTGCCAGCCAAAAGATGCAGTTGACAATACAAAACAAGATGGCGTGGTTCACAGGACCCCCTTGGAAAGCAATAAAGTTTACAGCGGTGAGACCGGTAAACCTATGCAAGAAAAGAGCAAGGAGCATGACAGAGATGTCGAACTTTACCATTACAACATCAACAGGGACAAAGGAACAGAAATCGAGGGAATATGGATGCCTGAGATCACAAACACTCCGACTAGCTGGAGAGCCGCATGAAAGAGGACTGATTAGAGAACATCTCGTCGAAATGCACCATTTACAGCTGTGGAATTCCAAGCAATAACAGCTAAGCAGAACGGTTGATAACATGACGTGTACCTTCATATTGCATGAAAAAAAACTAGCCGGAGAGTCAGATAAATTATGCCGGCATCATTTTCAGCATAATGCTGCGGTCAGAGCATCACGCATAAAGCCAGCATAATGACAAAACCTTCTTAAAAATTCGGATATATCAACAAAGTTGAAATGGTAAATTGGCCACAGTAACGATTACAAAAGCTGACGTTTCGAGCGTTAGCCCTTCGTGGGAGCGAATAGAGGAATTGTGGGTTGTGTGTGCTTTTAAAGGCAGAAAATGGAGCTACGTTATTGGTGGTAACATGACAACGAGAAAAACACGAATAAATTAGTGGAATAAAAAGCGTTCGTTGATCCCTGTGGGATTTTAGACTGCCGGTTGGAAAGATGAGCTTTTGTTCAAGAGTTTTACGGCTTTCCGTGCTACCTAAGTGTAAGGAAAGACCGCAGATTGCCACATGTTGCTTAGAGGAAGTACTACATATTAATGGTATAAATCAGCGCTGATGAATTCCCCTGATGATAGGAAAAAATTTTTAGCAAAAGTTTCGGCATTATGTCAGGTCTTCAGAGGTGACACTCACAAGTATGATGCTCAAATTTTTCTACCATATTCTGCCTGACCCTAAAACGCCAAGAGAATATAAACTGTTTATAACCTCTTGGTAGTACTTAATATCGCGATTCACATCCAGAGTGGTTTCTTCGTGAGATAAACCCGAGGCGGATCTAGGGGAGGGGTCGGGGGGTCTCGCACCCCCCCTCATATTTTGGGAAAATAAACAAACGCAGAGGGAAGGAAAGTCAAAACAAAAACGGTCCCCCTCCCCCCTTAGCTCAAGGTCTGGATCCGCAACTGCAAAGGATTATCCTACAAATTAGAATGTTCTCGCAAAGACTATTGACCACAACAAATTGCTTACGATATTAAAAGAATGGTGATGAATTAATAAGACTTGTAATTATGATAAAAATTGTGTTAAAATGAAACAATGAACTTTAAGAATGATCATATTAAATAAAAAAAAAAAAAGCAAAGAAAACTCTCACCAACCATTTTTGTCAAAGATCTTTGTAAGACTGTGAGCCCTCTAAAAAGTAAATGTGCCTCTATATGTATCTTCACGAGAAATTTTCAAATCGGCATCGATCAGGAGAATAGATTATAAAGGCTGTGATGAGTTCGCATGAGAACTCTCGTGAAAATTGATACTGCCCCAATGTTGTAGACGTAATTTTTCCGTTGTTTGATATTGTAATTGTTATTAAAGTGACTTTTCAACAGGAAAAACCACTGATTGATCGTGGCCATTAGATTTTTTTTTTCTGATTCTGAAAAGGAATTATTTTCCTGAAAAAATGCTTACGTTCTTCCCGTTTTCTTCCTTTCATACGCGCTAATATCTTGACGTAGATTAATTGCATTTAAGTAAACACAAAGCGTAATTAACTTGCCTAACTCTTGCACGAAGTCAGCGAACTGTGCCTTGTGAAGATGGCAGTAGATGAATATAATTATGATTGGAAAAAAAGTTGAGACGACAAATCTTAAAAACAACTTATTGACAGATCGAGTCGAAAGTTATATGATAATGTCATTTCTTAGCGAAGCAATCGAAACGATGGCAACAGAACATAGCATCTTTTGCTAAATCTAATTTAGCGGCTGAATGTTGTTGTATTGGCTTAAAACCACATCCATGACAGACTGCACTCTACAAGAAAACAAGTCTTGGAGAAGGACCAAAAAAAACTCGCCTATGCCCTATTCTTCATTCAGGCAAAACAAAACGGCTCTTAAAACTTGGGTGCTAACGATGAGCCTCTCAGTGACCAATGCTTATTTACAGATAACAACAATAACCTTAAAATTATCAATATTCACACTAAAACTTAAACTTGTAGCCACGCAATACATGAGATAATTTTGCGACGTAATGCTGGCTGAAAATAAGTTTGCCTTTGCTTATTAACCTTGCAAATAAGTAAGTAGCTAATCGGCCGATTGAAAAGCTGAATAAGCACACACAAATTGTGTGAATTATTCATTCTACTTGAAGCTTCAAGACGATTGCGCGCGTGCGCGCAAAGTGTCTCAACTCGAAAGAAAAAACACAATCATGACATTAAGAGAAATTTGGTGCTACAAAGAGAAGTGTCAACACCAGCCTTTGAAGAAGTACTACATATTAATGGTATAAATCCGCGCTGATGAATCAAGGCTAGATCATAAAATGCCTGTGTAATTCACTTCTACTTGCCTTCATGGATGGTTTTGATTTATCCTTCGGTCCGTCCTGTACAGAGACACCTTTTCGAGCTCGTGCATTTCCCAGCGTCTCTCTCTGTGCCATTCGATTCCATTTGACTTGGTAATGATCAACTGAAAGTATTTGTGAATAATCAAATATCTTAATTCTAAACAACTTTTAACCAGCCATGCATTGACGACATCGCACCTGCGACGTTAGTAACTTAAATGGCAGAAAGTTTAATATGTTGTCTGGCTTCTTGGAACGAACGTAAGTCTCTAATTTCAGTCTGGTTATTCCGCATACTAACAGAATCCAGTCATGTCAAAATGTCACGCTACGTAAATCATGTCTTATTCAAAAGGGGAAATTTAAACAAAAATTAATAGTTCTCGGCCGCTTAAATTAGCTTAATGACATTGACTCCAATAAGTCCAAGGAACGATGAATCTCACGGCATTTCCTTGAAAATTTTCTTTTTTTATTTCATTTTCGTTCCTTTTTCCGGATTATGCTCCATATACCAATTCCCGAGTTACGTCACAAACAAGACAATGGAGATTTGATGTACGTCACAAACAAAACAATGGAGATTTGATGTATACTTAAACAATGCGCCAAATAAATGTTGACTTTCTCTTCTTCTGGGACACTTGGGACAACTGGGACAACCGGGACAGCTGGGAAACTTGGGACAGCTGGGACAGCTGGGACAACTGGGGCAACTGGGGCAACTGGGACAACTGGGACAACTGGGACAACTGGGACAACTGGGACAACCGGGACAACTGGGGCAACTGGGACAACTGGGACAACTGGGACAACTGGGACAACTGGGACAACTGGGGCAACTGGGGCAACTGGGACAACTGGGACAACTGGGGCAACTGGGACAACCGGGACAACTGGGACAACTGAGGCAACTGGGACAACTGGGACAACCGGGACAATCGTGACAAATGGGACAACTGGGGCAACTGGGGCAACTGGGGCAACTGGGGCAACTGGGACAACTGGGACAATCGGGACAACTGGGGCAACTGGGACAATCGGGACTACTGGGACAAACGGGACAATCGGGACAACTGGGACAACTGGGACAATCGGGACAAATGGGACAACTGGGACAACTGGGGCAACTGGGACAGCTAGGACAGCTGGGACAATCGGGACAACTGGGACAACTGGGGGTACTGGGACAACTGGGACAATTGGGACAAATGGGACAACTGGGAAAATCGGGACAAATGGGACAATCGGGACAAATGGGACAACTGGGACAATCGGGACAACTGGGACAACCGGTACAACTGGGACAACCGGGACACTTTGCCTGCTGGTACATGAATTAAAATTGCGTACCGCTGGACTATAAAGCCGTGGACTCGATTTTCACCTCAAATTTATTTATTTATTTATTTATTAAATGGCGTCAAGCTGTCCGTCGAGCTTGGTTTACGTCTTGCTTTCTTGCCGTGTTTTTCCCCATTCTACGAAAGGAATAATTCGTTATCAGACGCTGAGTTAAACAACTTAAACATCGATGTCAACCTGTTACACTTAGAAAAGTGTAACATTCAAAACCAGGTATTGTCAGTCTACGTTACGAAAACATCATCTTAATGATGTGACAAGTTAATAAGTTGTTACGCTGCATCAGGTGGTAAAAAATAAACTTAACTGATTCATAGCTGAGGTAAATAACGGGTGTATCAAGAGATTAAGGAACGAGATGGGCGGCGGCTGGCAGGAGAACCTGAGGGGTGGGGGGGGGATATGCATAATAGACTAAGTGCTGTCCTTGTTAAGGTGGCTCGTACCAGTTTCCTCGCGCGGGGAACAGGTCACTCTTGCGTAACGCGCGCGAGAGAAACGTGCGAAAGAAGCGCGAGATCAGAAGATGAAAATTCAAAACAAAGATGGCGGCGCGTGGAATTTTTCTATTTTTGTGAGAAGTTTACCTAAGAGCTTGTATTTGATGAGTTGAGCGGCCACTGTAAATGCAGGAGATAGAAACTAAGATAACGAAGACGAGTTTTGGAGAAGTAAAGGTTGCTTCACTTCACATTTAAAAGAAATATTCAACCGATATGAAATCTTTCTACGGCGAAAAATGAACAACTCAAGTGAAGGATAATCTACCTGAAGTGGAAGAAGACTTTGAAACTTGAAGGAAAATAATATGATATAGTCAGAAGTCATGTGTAGGATTTTTAAGATGAGCTCGGGAGGCTGTCTTTGACGGCTGTTTACTGATTTTCTTAGCAGTAAACTTCTGTAAACATCAGATCGTAGGTGCTCGCGCGAGCACACGCAATTGTCAGCGGTAGCTAAAACAGATCATGAGCAAATGTC